TTTTCTAAATTTACGAACTATCGTCCGTCATTCAGAATGTCCGGAAACAGTCTTCGTGCTACGGGGGTGTATTCATGGGAAACGCCGCATACTCGAGATTCCGCGGAGATACCCTGTATTTGCAGGGATGGGAATGGAACACGGAAATGGACAGGGGTCTCTACAAATAAGACAGTTACCAGGTGGCATTCCCACCCACGTCACGGGAGGGTTTAATGCATGCACGCTAGCCTCTGCCAGCGCCTGTCGAGAATTTCCGAGCGGGGGGAACGTCGTGTCATCTCTGCTGCTGCATGCCGAAAGCGGAACACAGCATGCATTTCCGTTTTCCCCCGTTACTCATTTCTGGGTCCGAACCGAGCCCGGGAATGCGGGTCCGCGGGTATACGAGGAGAACCCTTCCGCGGGGGAATGGATATAGAAAAATAATTTTGTTTTAAAAAACTCCAGATGTGAGGAATGAGCATCAGCATCAAGCGACTGTGAGTCGGAATTAATTCAAGCGCGTTGCGACGAGTATTGCGAAAAAATTGAGCCAAATTAATTCCTCTTGCGTCGAGTTTTTTTTTCACTCTCTCTTTATATGGGAGCTGTTAGTGGTTCTACGCGTAACTCGATTTCCTGGTCGTGCTTCGGTTAACGTTCCGGGGTTACCATCAGCGCGGACAGCGAGGAATAAAAATGCGCCAATTTCTCGGGTACTAGACTGGGTATCTTACGTGAATTGACATGATTTAATCACTCGGCTACCCGAGGCTTCGTGGTATTTCTTTGTTCTTACGATGCTCGAGAGGAATATACGTCTCTCGCAGACGGAATTTTACCACATGCAATCGGTGGGCTCGATTTTTTTCCGAAGTTTCCCTCAGATGGCCATGTTCGAGTGCCAACGTAGTCATTTACCATGTATGACAATTATAGAAAACTTTAGGGATATTTTCTTGATCGGCGAAACGAAGTTTTAAATTTTTTTAAGAGGATGATTGTGGAATCTTCTGCGTACTCACGAGTATATTCTATTTATTTACTTTTTTGTAATCCTGGACAGATTTATTCTAGTCAGAAACCAGAGGAGACGAATTTTTTCTATAAATTATGTTGGTTTGAGGAATTAATGACGAATGCTTCAAGGTTATAGTCACGACTTCGTTCCTGATGACTGCTTGTGAATGCAGAACTTTTCACTAAATATCGTTGAAAATTCTGTGTTCGGCATTTTAATCATAGTTTAATCTGTTTTTCTTCTAAAAACTAAAAAAATATTTCGTCAATCTTCCGTCATTTATATAGCCTAATATTTCGGAAATCTTCATGTTGTCTTTAAAAAAAAGGATTTTCAATTGAAGAATACGCTTGAAAAATGACGGAAAATCTAAAATGTATTTACCTTCTTGTTAAAAAATAAGTGCAATTTGAGAGTCTTCAGGTAAGCTTTTGGCAGAAACTCAGACAGAATTTACGTTTCTTTTTAGATTTTACCACGTCAAATTCACCACTGTTTTCGTACGATGTTGTGGGCTGAAAGTACCACCAGCAGTGTTGCATGGGTTTAAATCAGATTAAAGTTGCAAGAATATTTCTGTTGCACACATATCTCCGAAATTACGCTCCACATTTAAGCTCCTCATGCTTTTGTGAAATCTTAAATGAAGTCCCTCCGGATTTCAGTTTCTTTTCTGGCGTAAGATATACTGTACCCTCCGTCGAAAGCCTATATCTCCTACTTGGCAGCATCTCGGACCACCTGAAAGGGGGGCACCAGTGGCACGGGTACCACTGGCTGAAAATCCCTGCGCTTAGGGTTATTCTAACGCGCTCAGCTGATCTCAACCACTCACTCGTTTCACTCCCTGTGGATCTCAGGGGTTTTGGTCGTCGTCGTCGTCGTCGGTATTTTTTTCCCCCGCTTGCCCGTGCCTGTGTGTCATGGAAGTCACGTGTGTCGTTGCCTTCATCACGAGCCGGGCAATTCATCGGGCCCGAATTTCTTCTACTGGAGATTGTCTAGAGACACGGGGTGGGTGCTTGATCCCTCGGATCGACGCCTGCAGCGGGGGTGTCCTGCAAACAGCTCTGGAATGAAGTACGCTCGAGTGTCTCCTTATTCGCCACGCTGTCAGTCATTACTCATGACGTGTGCGCAGTTGTCCTGCTCGAGCCAGTGCATTTGTTTCCATTTCTTTCGTGCTGTGGCGCGAAGTGTTTCGTCTCGGGTGATTCCAAAAGTTTCGCAGGATGTGTCACCTGCAGTCTTCCGTGATGCAAACGGCGGATATTATCTCCGATTTATCGATCCTACTGCTGCTGGGAAAACGTCTGCGAAGAGCTGCGTGTTGGCGTGAAGATGAAGATGATTTTCTCGACGTCGTTACCAGACGCGTTAGATACCTAATGTCTAAACTAGGACCGACCTGACAACCACATTCCACTCTTTTCTCGTGGCTTTCTTCGTTAATTGTTGTATAAAAATCGCAGGGCATGTACAAAATCAGTGAAAAGGTATATACATTGATCGTTGACTTATAGTAAGAAAAAAATCTAAGTTGAGGTATTTTGAATAGAAACGCTCTTTGTTTTGCATCGTAACTTCCTTGAAGGTAAATACATTTTAGATTTCCCGTCATTTTTCAAGTGTATTCTTCAATTGAAAATCCTTTTTTTTAAAGACAACATGAAGATTTCAGAAATATTAGGCTATATAAATGACGGTAAGATTGACGAAATATTTTTTTAGTTTTTAGAAGAAAAACAGATTATACTGTAATTAAAATGCCGAACACGGAATTTTCAACGATATATTGTGAAAAGTTCTACATTCACCAGTCATCAAAAATCAATCGTGCAAAACGAGATTATTTCAAGTTTTTTATGCAGGATACAATTTTTCCGTCACTGTTTGTGAAATAAATTCCGAGGATAGGGATATTCTGCATTTTTAATCGGACATCACGAGGAAATCCTTTAATGTTGGGAAGGCGGTATTCCAGAAGGAACGTTTCAAACCCTTGCGATGTTTCGAATGGATTCGAGAAATCTTCGGATTATGCCATCTCAGTCTAAAGCTCTCGAATTTCCACAAACGGAAGCAATCGGACATAATATTTGTTTCAAAATATAGTACAGAGTTGTTTTTTTCCGACGGTACGTGCACGTTAATAAATTGATAAAATTCTGCTCAGAGAATATTCTGACTCCGAGGAAAGGAAAGCTAGGTGTTATTTTTGCAAAATCATCGCATCAAAAATAATAATCGCGTCAAGATACTCTATGGACCCGTAGTGCCAAGGCTTTACGAGTAGGTAGGTCTTCCTCTCGTGAAAACATTTTTCCAGGAATTACTCAACAGAGCTCTTCCTAATAAGAGCTGATGTGTGGCAAAAAGCCGGACGCGGAGAGCCCATATAAAGCCGACCATATGTGATACGCGTGCCCTCTTTCTGCAGCTTGGAGGCTGCTGGAACAGAGAGCTATGATTTTGTTCTTTATTTCCCGGAGATGAAAATTTAACGGGAGAGCGAAATCGTGAAGGAATTTGGAGCTGCCCCCGAGCATCGTTCTCTTCGCGATTGGCACATCACGCGAGGATTCCACGGGCAAATGATGCCTAGAGACGAATGATTCCCCGGAATGGCGCCCGAGTTGTGTTATTCGCGGAATCGAGACTTTGACGCAGAAGAATCATCGCGGCGGAGAGGGATAGTAACTCCTCTGAAACGAAACGCGTCGCAATAAATCGTCCGATGGATCTCTTCCCTGGATGCTCGCGCGTGGGATCATTGATTCCCCGCTCTCTGGCAAAAATTTTCCGCTCTCGCGTGCGCCATGCACCGACTGTCGACTTTGTGACACTGACGACGACATTGTCCAGCTGCCCGCTGCGGAGGTTTTTTTTTTCTTTTTTTTTTTTCCTTTTGACCGCGCGACTTCCGGAAAGTTGTTGCTGACTCTTCCGACTCAGGATCCTCTCTTGATCATCTCTCACACGAAATCCTCGACGATTTTTCCGCATCATAGCCTCTATTATCGACATTCCGAACGGCTCGTGACTTGAGACCTAAATTCCTTTGGAAACTATGCTGCCTGTGAAAGAGTATCGTCATGTGAAAATGATTTATAAAATGTGAGACGAGGAAATCTGCTTCTAAACAGCTCTTTTACGTCCCACGTGATCTATTGGGTAATATACGTTCTCTGATTCCTTGTAGAAGTCTTGTTGGATGGATCCAAGCGATTTTAATTTGCTTTTTCAGAATATTCGATTGTTTCTTGACCACTACCGAATTCTGCTCGTGAAAATCGTAATTGAGAGGAGATGAAATAAATCGCTGCGTGATCATTCTCGTTTTTCATAAATTTTCAGGCGGTCTTAGCGCTAATGAGAAATATTTTTCGAGTTACAAGCATTTGCCAAAAAAGTGTGTTAACCCATTTCAGACAATTGGTGTCTTATTTATATGGATTGTGGAGGCTGTTATCTAGTAATAATAAGTAAGCAAGACGTTTTCCAGTCTTGGTCAAAATTTAAAAAGAAAATCCATAGCTAAAAAAAAGACAATTTCCTCGAGCCTGGTTATGGATTACAGGGTTGTTTTAAAGATTCAGACTTGAAAGCTTAGGTATTCTAACTGTCTTCGAAAATGTTGGAAAATTCCTCGTAACTAGCCAGTTTTTTTTATAGTCGCTGGCAGATGATGAATTAAAAAATAATACTGCTATAATGTATGGATTCGAAATGAATTTTTAATTCATGGCTTATCCTCCGAAATCCCAAATTAATAAAAACATCGTCAACGTTGCTGCAGTGATTTCAGTTTTTGGCCCTATATGATATGCAAGTGTAATCAGCGCATTACAATGAATCACGTGCTTTCGTGAGTTTTCCATCGTGTCGATGATCTTATGTCAGATTTCAAATGCTGAAAAGCAAATGCGGGAAGACATTCTTCCAGTAGCTCGTACAAACTTGGGGAGGATGGTTTAGCAAAAGTATAGGGGTTCGAATGCAGTTTTTCTGCGAATATCGAGGCTCGGAAACAAAACTGGATAAATTGCACAAACTATTCGAGGATTGCGGGCGCATGAAAATCCCTGTCAGTCGCATCGATCCCCGCTTGCATTTTCATTTCATGCGGAAACATGCAGGGATTTGAGTTGTAATCGCCATATCCCGTCTTTTTCTCCCCCTCGATACAGGCCGCATTTCCGGGACGGACGTGTACGGGCTGACAGGCGAAGGCGTCACTTTGGGATGCAAAGTGAACAAAGCGATTTGCGGGGACATCCACAACATAAAATGGTACAAAAACAACCAACGGGTCTTCGTCTTTTCCGAGATGGCGAAGGTTCAGCGGCCCGAAGGAGACTTGGTCGGGAGGTAAGCTGCATGACTGGTGATCTCGAATGCGTGATTATGTCTTCCTAACGACGTTTTCCTATTGCTTTCGGCCTTTCTCTCGGCCTTTCCCGTCTCGACGGCTTAATTCTCCCATATCCCGAGTCCTGGCTCATGTCGGTTCGGGGTTCCCGGAATATCTTCGGGATCCTCGGGTATTATACCTCCGACCTGTCACTGAGACGGATCTCCGATCTTTTGTTCGCTTCCCGCTGAAACTTTCCTGTTGGGCTTTGCAACGAAAGTTATCCCCGGGCTCTCGGTCACGAACACGGGCTCAAGGCATACGCCGAGATGAGCAGGGGTGGTTCAAGGTAGTCGGCTCATCCCGTGGCGAAAAAACAGAAGAAGGAAATATTTCAGTCATTCGTTTTATGCCAATCACATGGGTTACCTGTTTCGCAGTCACTCTATATTTCAATGAAAAAAAATATCAAACTTCACAATGAGATGATTTCTGAAGGAATTTTGCAACGCAACTGGAGTTTAGACTCCGAACAGTCCAAGATACTGCTGCCTTGATTAAATAGACTCTGATTAACGAGCCCAAATTTCAAGTCACTCATCTGAGAATGCGAAGTTTTTAATGTAATTTGATATTTCAGTCGAACTTAGAATTCAAGGTGAATAGAGATTCTCGAAGAAAGAAGAGCAGCAAAGACTATTTAAATCAGTGTTCTCGTCCTTTTTGGGCCTGCGAACAATTTTATACAGAAAATGTATATAAAATTGTTTGCGGACTGAAAAATATCTAAAATAAATTCCTGCGGACTGGCAAAGTTTTAGAAAAATGTTGCAGACTCAAAAGTTTTGTTTGAAAAGCTTTATGGCAGCCATTTAAAGAGTTTCATCTTTTAAAAAATCAAGTCAAGAACCAATGAAGCAGCTTTAATCGAATGTCTTCGAAAAATTAGAAAGGTAGATTCGAAGAAAGGTTTCTCAGAATGAAAACAATGAAAATAAATCATTTTAGCAGGTGGAAATTTGGCTAAAGCTTTAGGAGAAAAGTGAACTTTTATTTTTGCATCAAGTAATATCCGCTGACATTATTTTTTTAAATTTCACATGCATATAACGAACTTCATTGCTACTTTTGATACGTTTTTTAGGCTGAAGAAAACTTCCTGTGGACTGTCACTGACGATCCGCGGACCACGGGCTGAGGAACAGTGACTTAAATCATATTACAAGACAAACAATAACGCATGACGTACTCGTACAGACATTTTATAAGGATATTTACAAAACTTTATGCTCTTCGAAGCTTGTGACATTTTTGTAAAATCATGTTGAGAAGAGTTAAAAAAATTTTCCAACATAATTAGTGAATGTATGTATGAATGTGTTGAATACCCATTGTATTCGACTATCCGGGGCAAAATCACCGGTCATTAACCTGGATAATACTGTACATGTTTGACTCAATTTAATGGCTCATTAACTGCATAAAATCCCGCACGGGATCCTTGATGGTCACAATGTCATTTGCCCAGCAACTCTAGCGACGTATTTTATGTGTTACGCAATAGTTCCCCTTCCACTAAAGATTATAGTTGAGTCGGGCTTGGAGTTCGCTAACCAGAAAATAGCTTTCGAGCTTGAAAGTTCTGACACTTTCAGGCAACGAGAACGGAATGAATAGAGATCCAAGGGATCCTAAATGGATGCACTAAAGCCATTTCACGCAAAAGTCGGGAAGAGCGATCTTAATATGTGGCAAGAGGGCTGGGGTTTAAAATAAAACACGATTTCCTTGCTGATACTCAGAGTCAGCGTCTGGAAAATCTGCGCAATTACGTCATTCTGGTTTTTAGAGGGTACATTACGGAAACTTGAAATATGCGTTGATGCTAAAATTTTTCTGAACAACTCAGAGGGATCCTGACATATGGAGGTCCTAACATACGGACGATTTCACTTATGGACACCTGAAACTTAAAAATCTCCCCGAAAATTTGAAGAAGATCTCAAATATGGGACTGTTGCGAAAATAAGTCAACGCTTCGCTTTTTTTTAAATTGAGCACAGTAGTTTATTTTTCAAACTGTTGACATTCCTTGAAAAATTTGAGCTGCTAGCATGAAGTCAAAATAAGTCTTATGTAGTACAGTATATAAGATAACCTCTTGAAGATCCTGTTGTTTATTTCCCAAAAAAAGGCTAACTTCTTGCTTCTATTTTTAGGGACTTTTCCATCTACTATGTACAGTACGGCAAAATGGGTGCCAGCTTTTCCTTTTTGACTCGTTTTCAAGTCAAAAGTGCAGATTTTGCGTTATTTTTCACATATTTATTTTCCGCATTTTGAAATTTGTGAAAACACTTTTTATTATTATTTTTCGTTGGACTTCTTCCATCTTTTTCTGACAAACATGGGAATTGAAAAACAGTCATCTATTGAACTTTATCGTAAAATATTATCCAATATGCAGAGGTTCCAAAAGATGGACGCAAGCTGAGAATTAATTATGTCTGGATCTCGGGGCCCGACTGTATTTTTTAAAGGTGCAATCAGTCGGAAAATGTTGGTTTTTGGGGTTTTTGGCATTTACACGCACGGTCTTCAAGGAACCGCATTTCTCGTGTACCTCATCTTCGTAATGATGTTGAATCGTCGGGTTACTTTTGGAGAAACACGGCTGCTGCTGCGAGAGTTTCGATTGAGTTTTCTTCTAGGGAAGTGGAAGAAAATCGGCTTACTGGTGGATACCCAGCAACTCATGTTCGAGGCAATAATAACCTTGGACTTCTCCAGACCCGAACCGAAACTTACTTTTCAAGAGCGACCGACGTGGGTTTCATACTAAAAGTTTCTCGAGGGGTTCGTTCGATCGCAGATGACGAAAAGTGTTGGGTCAAGAAGATTCCCGTGACTGGGGAAAACTTCGAAACCCGGGTGTCGCCTTGGGATTATGACGTTAGGCTTGTTTCAAGTTGTTCCGACGTCGTGCGGAGCATATTGGGTGTGGATTGAAATTTTCAAAAAATACAGAGGGAAAAGTTGTGCAATTTTCAGCATTTTCCCCTCACTTCTCCTCGTAACGCCGGATGCTTCAACGGTGCATGTTCCTCTTACATCCATCTTGCCCTCGATGCCATAACTGACACGAACTTGACACAATCTTCCTGTCAAGTATAAAATAACCCCCGAAACGGTATTTTAAGAGTTTCCCTTTCGCGAAGGGAATGAATAGAAAATTCGGAAAGTTCACAGAAATTGACCAACCGAATCCATTTTCTTGACCCAGATTCCAACATTCTACATTCTTTTACGGAACAGTTGAGTGCGTCTCAAATCTACGTGTCCAAAACAAAACAGCGTATCCACGAAAACAGAGAAAAAAAATGAGAGCGCAATTTTTTGTGCTAAATAATAGCACGGAAAATATCAGGCAATCTAGAGTATTTAAGAGGTTGATTAATTTTTCGTAGTTTGTTAAACACGGAGGTTCCTCATATTAGATGCGTTTTGACGGGAGTAAAGTGACAGGTCAACGTGATTTTTTTTTTGTCATTCAGGTTTAGAATAAAAACGGCTTTGTTTTTATAGCTTGAAATCTCTCTTGTGTTATCAATTTTATTACAGTGGACAAGCACAATTTGTCCAAGAGATGTCAAAATTCTGAGAGATGATTTTTAAGTCTGAAAATTTTGTGAAGTGTCCATTCCTTGAGTCATTGTCGAGGGTCGTTGAATTTACAGTGTGTGCAAGTCAAAAATTCAGCATGTTAAGCCTCTTTGTATTCATAGAAATTGAGCTCATTGGCATATTGTTATTATGTTGACAAAGAAGCTATTTAACGTTATTTTTTAATTACGTCGCACATATCTTCTTTTTGAGCTTTTATGTGGAATTTGTGTTGGTGTACGGAGAACCTGCCCAGATTTTATAATGCTTCAGATTAAAAAAATTATAGAATTCCTTTCATAAGGAATCAAATCACAGCAAATAAACTTTAAAATCTTTCACTGCTGTCGACACAAATGATGAGCGTATGATAAATCATTTGTGATTATTGGTTACTTTATTTGTCCGATTCCTTTTCAACGGCATGGGATCAAATTAGTGCTTTCAAATGAATGACCCATGATCAGAATTTTAAAACAATTTCAGGTTGTCTTTCAATCTGGAGAACTCAATGTAGACATAAATGCAGGTCAGAAAATGCGTAGCATAAAATTTGGACACAGATGTCGATTTTAGGTATGGCAACCTGGTCTCTTTTTTCAACCCATCAGCGCAATGGGAAATTCGAAAACTTATTCATGCCTCGGTGATGGGTTCTTTTCGAGCATCTCAACCAGAATAACACCTATTTATTTCAAGTTTTCCATCATCCGGAGAAGACTTGAAAAACATGAGCTCAAGACCTGTTTTGCTTAATGCAGTATTCATTCCACAACTGAAAAACAAGTATTGCATGCTGCTTCAAATCATATACAGTGAGACCCCAGATGCAGACATAATTGGTGCATCAAGAGTGTCTCTAAGTTGAAATGTACCTCAGTTGAGTATGGTTTTCCCATAGACTTACATAAAAAAATTTTAATTGGTGTTTTATGGAAGAAATATTCATCAGAATTCCGTGAAAAAATTGTCTGACACTTTAAATTGATTCAGTGAATATATTTAAACTCAATATAAGCATTTGGAGCATTGAATGATGTACCTCTGTACAGTAGTTTGAAATTTTGGTACTGTACCTGTAAAAATAACATTCAAGTCACAAAGAGAGAAGAAGGTCCCTCGATCTATGCTGAAGGTGATTTTTTTAAATTAGTTGAATGGATGGAAAAATTATTGGGAAAATACCACAGAATTTTCTTGCCTATATCTTAGGGTTGGAAAAATCCATTTCTTTCAATTCAGCCTGATAAAAGTCACTTGTCCTGAAACTTACCGGCAATTTTATCATGCCATGTCCGCATGTCATTTTTTACTGGAAAATAAATGTCCCTATGTTGAATTGTTTGTATGTCAAGGTGTCTGCATGTGGGGGTCTTACTGTAATTGTTTTAAACCATGTATTCCAGAAACAATTGGGGAAAATATCAAATAAGCGGCTACGTGATTTATGTTTTTATGGCTCGATTTTTGAACTTCTCTTCGGCGTGTGCAATAATCGGAATATTGTTTTCTTTCAGATCGCAGCTTTTCGATTCGCCGAACACGTCGTTGTTTGAGCTGGTGATCAGCCCTTTGCGCGCCAGCGACGAAGGAGTTTACAAGTGCGATATAACTTACTTGGAGGTGAAGGATGAATGCGCAGTTGTTCAATTCGTCAACTTGACGACACGTGGTGAGTCTTCCTGTATATACTCAATCCGATGCGTATCTGCCGACGACGGATTCCGTTGACTTTTTTTTTTTTTACTTCGGGTGTCAGTCAAGGAACCCCGACAGTTTCCTGCGTGACCCGACTGTGTCTTCAGTTCTGCGCGTTCTGATGCTTTTGGTCCCTGGTTCCGGATGAGAATTTCAAATAAATATATAGTGAGACCCCGAGATGCAGACATAATTGGTGCATCAAGAGTGTCCCTAAGTTGAATTGTCCATAAGTTGAGTCTTGTTTTCCCATAGACTTAAATTATATAATTTTTAATTGGTGTTCTAAGGAAGAAATATTCTTCAGAATTCCCTGAAAAATTTTTTTGCCACATGAATTTGAATTAGTGAATAAATTTTCAACTCAATGAGAGTATTTGGAGCATTGAATAGTGTACCTATTTACTGTACTGTACATTGAAATGTTGGCATCTACAAAAATAACTTTCTAAGTTAAAAAATGTAGAAGTCCCTCTATGCTGGAGGTAATTTTTTAAAATTAGCTGAATGGATGGTAAATTGGTGAGAGAAATGCCCAAGATGGGGAGAGAAATGCCCAAGAACTTTTCTTACATCAATTTTAGGGTTGGAAATATCTGTTTCTTGTAATTTTGCTTGAAATGCATTTGAAATTTCATCACAAAATGTCCCTATGTTGAGTCAGTGTCCTCATGTCTGGCCTTTTTTATTAATTTTTTCTGAGAAAATAAGTGATGTCCATATGTCAAATTGTCCGCATGCGGTCTCACTGTACTTCATTGTATCAATGACCATCTTGAGAACGATCTCACGCGTATATCGGAAAGGGTTCCTCGAGGAATGAAGCCAGTCTAATATTCCCTCCGAAAATGTACCATGACTTTTAACCGAGAACGAAACAGCTAAATTAATCGATCGCCGTTGAAATTTCATATTGAGAGTTTCGGAGTTGGGTTGGTGTTTTTTTTTTACAATCGAGATCATTCACCCTTCATTGAAAAATACCGAACTAAAATAATTTTGAAAATGCAGGGTCGGAGCCACTGGGAGATTAATTTTAGGGTTAGGCGAAAAAAAATTGTGATAAGATGGGGTAGAATCTAAAGTAGATCCTGGACTCATTCAATAATGAATTTTCAGGGAATTCTCGCATTATTAATTGGAATTATGGTATCAGTTTCTGAAATGCGATTATTGCATCCGGTAAAATCAGAAAAATCCTAGAGACTGATTTCTAGAAAGGCTTCCGATAGTTTTTTTTTTTGAAAGCACATGACGTCCCAGAAGAATGGTTCCTACTTTTGAGCTTCGATTCGTTATCGAATCCGGAAGAAAAGAACAAATCCAGGATTTTCGCTGCTCCTCGGCGAACAAGGCGATAATGTTTTTCATCGATTACGCGTATCCCTCAATAACTGAGGTCGATATTCTTATTCCTTCACGGATTCCGCTGTAGAATGGTAGGATTGTAGAGAAGGGTGAAACTTGAGCCGGGTGTGATTTTCTTCGGAGCCGTAAAACTGTCTCGTCTGCCGCGGTGTCTAATCTCACTCACGTATCGGGAATTTCAGCATGATTTTAGGCTTTGATTGGTTTTATCGATTGATAGAGAAAACTTGCCTCGAGATTCAAATATTTATTACTCAACATGATCGTTTCATTTCTCATGACCGTGACTTTGACCCGACGCTCTTCGACCCGTTTTTCTATCGCGATGCCGTATTTACTCGATTCGAAGACGCACTTCTGTTTGTGAAATATTTGTTTTTATGAAATCAGAAAGGGTCCCATATCCGATGGTGTCTTGCATTTTATGCAGCCTTTGAGTTGAAAAAATAGCGTGCGATTATTTCTGAACAAAATAACTGAGCAAAATCTGAAAATTGATTTTCGAAGTGTGTCCATTTGCTGGAACGTCACGCGTCAGATCACGTTATCCCATCGACTTCTGTAGAAAGATTTTTTATCCATTCTCCTGTTTGGTGAAGAAATTTGAAAAAAAAAGCCTCCAGAAGATTCAATGAAATAGTTATCTTAATTTTAAAATGCAGGAAATCACTGTGCAGAAGAAACCACACAGAATCTGCTCTGTTGGTGTGAAAAGGAGTAAAAACGAAAAGAAACACACATTTTGATGTGTTCTACACAGCCTATGGGGAATTCGTAAAAAGAGAGGGAGAAATTCGCCTGTTTTGGGGAAAACCTAGATTAAATTCATGAGTATGTCTGCATTTATTTTCTCTTTATTTCCATGGCAGTAGCTCATATTGTTCAGGGGTTATCAAAATAAAAATAAAAAATCTGCATTGACGTGGAAATTTTGCCACGTTGATTTCTGGGGCAGATTTATTTCGTTTAAATTTTTCTTGATTCGAATCGTCCGCATGTCAACACATACGTACGTATATATTTCGGATGCCCCAGTTTATCTCTTTCCGCGGAATATTTTTTAAATTTCTTCTGGTCTGTGGGTGCTAAAGAAAAATAATAAAAGCCGAGTTTGAGCGATCACTTCTCGAGCGGGGTTACAATGCTCTTTTTTCATATTTAAGGTTGTTGTTTTTGCAAAGAGAAATGGTAGGTTTTCCTTCCCTAGTTGACATCCCAGGCACGTTCAGTCCACCTCGGGTGTTGAACCACGCTTCGAGGCAAAGGACGATTCAGAAGCTGATGATGGTTCCGAGCGGTTTTCGCGGCTTCTGGATAGCCAGCCCGGACGTGTTTTTCTTTTCCTTCCGGAACCCGGTTTACTCGGCGATGCGCTTTCCAGTCGACTCGACATGTCCCTTTCATGGCGAGCGATGGTTCAGGAGATTGCCGACGTGAGTTGAGGCACAGTGCTAGATAAACCGGCGGCAATTGCGAGGGAAATTCCCGCGGGAGTCTCGAGAAACCCGCGGGATGAAATTCCGGGGCGACGATTCCGGGGGAATCTGGCCCGGGAATTGAGGACGTGTTGATTTCCGCAGCCGGGCGCTTTATTATTAGCCCATTTTCGTCCCTCTCTCTCTCTCTCTGCTAATATTTTCGGATCATTGCGAGGAAATTCGCGTGGGATCGTTCTATGTTTGATTAAATTACTGTACGAATAAGTAATTCAAATCTAATTTTTTGAACGGAAGTGGACCAATTCAATTAAGAGAGACGCATTTTTCTAAAAAAAAAAAAAAGCGGTGATATATATTTTAAGCCCCACTCCCAACTATGGCAAAGTAATTCTTACAATTTATATTTGAATATCACTGTGTCTGCCGCAAACCAAGTAAATTTAGCTACCAATAATGGAATATACCGTATTCACAGCCATGCTAATTCATCTTTTTTCTAGTAAAAATAAGCCCAGAAAGTGTGGTAATTTTCATACACGAATACAGTATACATTTTATCGGCAACTTTTTTTAAAATATGGTACACATCAAGCTTCAAAACATTTCATGAAGTTCAAATAGATTATTTTTCGCGGCACGAACGAGTGAAAATACCCGAATTAAACTGGCAGATGACAACGTGAATAAGAAAAAATACAGCACAGCAATTGAAATCCAATTGTATTTGTCTGAATTGTAAATTGCATCATTTACGTCCTAAAATTAACTTACGTTTATGTCACGGAAAACTAAGTTGCAAGTCTTACGTATATACTGTAAATTGATTTTTCTAAAAAAAATGCATCCCAGAAATTATGATACACGTCTTATATGAGGGCAAATGCTGGTACTCAAGTACATGAAGTCAACAGGACCCAAATTTTGATTCTTTGGGGGAAAATAAAATCACCTGCTTTCCGTATAAGTTCAGCTTGAGCCGTCGCATTTCCCTCTGATGAAATAATTATCTGAATTTTTGCACATCACGATTTGCCGGAATGTTGTTCATATAATTTCAGTAAACCTTAACAATTTTTCGGAAGCAACTTTATAATGCTTTCAATCCTGAAACTCGCCATGATTATTCGCGTCATGTTATTGTTCATTAGTCCGGATATTTTAAGTTCTACGTATGAACTACGTTTGAACAGAAGAAGTTTCTTGACGAAAACTGATAATAAAATACCGTCTGCAAACAAATCCAGCGAATTTGCATTCTGTTCCCTGCTTTTTTCTATTTTGTGGAGGGGCTGAGTAGAACTGCGTGAGGCGATTTATCAACTGGATGTGGAGTATTCGCTGAACGGTCGATTACCTGGCTGACGGGAATAATATGAACCTGCTGGAGTATTTCCGCGCGCGCGTATGATATGAAATTTCACGGGGTTTTCCCCACTGAAAAACAAAAACGTAGTGAATTTCCGCGATGATACCTGACTACTGTACATCGATTCGATTTTCACCCTGGGAATACACGCCGGGATATAAAGGTTCCGCGGCAGTTCGATGGGATCCATACTCAGAGGCTTCGCGCGTTGTTGGAAACACTGCCAGTGTAATATTTACTCTCCGCGAGCCGGCTTTTCCAGAAACCGGGAAGACTTACAACTGCCTTCGTCCGGATGTGACTGGAAAAGGAAAAAAAAAAAGACGGAGGGTGACGCGATTTCCGAACCGGAGGCGCGAGGGAACGCGAGGATCCAATCACGGCAACCCCATCCGCGTCCAAATTGCGATTTGATGGACGAGTTTCGGGCAACGAACTGTCCGGCCGCGTTGATGCGGCCGGGGGACGGGATCGAAATTCATCGGATTCCGCCTGCGTTGATCGAGGAACTGAGGGATGAGTCCCGTGGCTGCAACTGATGAGTCCCATGATAGCACCCGGGTCCGAAGCATTGATTGATACACGCGGGGTGGGTGAATGTGGGTCCGCTCTGGCGGGTTGAATGAGACTCGGGCGAAAAGGAGAGCATCAATCACTGAATCCGCCGGGATTGTTGGCTCAGCACCTTTCCCCGGCTTCTGGAGTAAAACATTTGACGATGAATAGAATTGATTTCCGCTCGCCCCTTTGGAACCGTGCTTTGCTCCTGCAACATGTATCGTGGTCTCCACTTCCGCAGCAATTAGCCGAAAGACCCGATGCCTTTCTTTTTTTTTTCTTTTTAGAAGACAACGCTGCAATTACTGTATTCGCGAAGAACATCTTGCTTGTGGCGGAAACATTTCCACTGAAAACGG